ACCCACCGCCGTACCTCACGCGTCCTCACGTTCCCCTCGCACCGCGATAGTGCCGGCCAATCGCGCGGCTCGCCTTCCGATCGGACGCGCCGACAGGCGCCGCCCCCGGAGACCGCCTCATAACCGCCTCTCTCACTCCCGCGGACTCCCGCGAGACCGCGCGTCTCGCTTTGTCTCGCCGTCCGAGAAGGAGAGAATTCTCTCTCTCGTGGCATCGGCCCCGGCGAGGCCCACCGATCGGCCTCCCGAAACGGCGATCCGCTGATGATGATGAGAGGAGGCCGCGCTTTGCTGATGGCGGAGGTGGTGGTGGTAGTTGTTCTGTCGTTATACTAGTATCGCTGAGCGGAGGTGGAGAGCGACGACGACGACGACGACGACGACGACGATGACGACGACGACGTCGACGACGATCACGGGGACGGTGCTCTCTCTTTCCGCAGATATCGCGTACGAATCAATGCATTCTAGGAAAGAATCGCGCGATCTGTACCCTACGAAAGTAGGTTGTACTTATGTGAGCGGTGAGATTTAAACGAGTGGGTAACGGGAAGATATTTTTTGAGAGCGCGATCCAAGAGATGTACGATATCTCTAGGTGGTTACAGAACGTCTTCAAGATAAATGATATACAACCGTCGATGCGAAGACTTTAGTAATTTCTCTGATGAAGCATTTAAAATTTAAAATCAATGGGGATTTAATATTTGTATCTTTCAAGTTCTTTCAAGTAAAAAGCAAGAATCGAAATAGACGAGCTCGAGGTAGACTCGACTCGATTCCTTCATGGATACATATAGAGATGTAAAAAGCGTGTAGCGTTTAGTTGGCGGACGGTATGAAAAAAGTTGGATAAATTTATTCTTTTACAGCTGGTGTAAGTGAGTTCAACGAACGCTGGCGGTAGCGGCGTCAAGAGACTTCTACAGACATGAACGGCGTTTTTGAACTTCTCGTCTCTCGCACATTAAGTGCAAGGATCTTATTGCACCTGCGCACAATAACGATTGTCCTGATAGCGGCGAGACGGACAAGTAGGAACGTGCGCTCTAACCATATCTTCTAAATGAGTCTGGCTACACCACATTGCACAGGTCGATTACTCGCGGCATTCTTCTCGGAGACAGCTGTAATAAATTAGTGCCGTAAGTTGACGAATGAGTGATATTTTACGCCGAGTCTAGGATACATTTCTCAAAAGCTGGCACGTGTGAAATCTTTCGTTTTTAGCACGTATTGTCCATAACAATTTTAGAATCGCTAATTCGGCGAGGTAAAAACTAATAGCGCGAAAACTCGTAAGACGAACGGTGAGTATTTGAGCGATCTTTTTTTGGAAGCGTAATAATGAATATTTATCGAGGCACAAGAAGCTACGTTCTTTGAATTATATCTGAAATAAGAAAGGAGCGCAGACATCTTTTCGACGTACCAAGTTTGGGAAGTAGACCCAGAATAGACATTCATAGTTGCAGAAGTAGATGGCTGTAATACAAACTGTATTGAAATATTTACATCGCTACGCAATATCCCAAAGTAGAAGTATATGATCGCGATTTTAAACGGCTATCTTCGCCGACTATCTAAATATGCTGCTGCTGTAGTAATATCACTCTCTCTGGAGCAATCGCGACGGGTGGGCTTTCCTCCACTATTTATTCTGGTATCGGCCTATTCACCGGGAGAGTATTCATCGTAGATTATTCATCGTATTAACAACAATCTCGCGAGCCGCACCCCAAAGGATTGTTCTCCCTTTCTTTTCCTGACGGCGGCACGTGGCAGCGTAATTGGGGATGCAAAGAGCGGACGATTATTAAACGTCGACGCGGTTTTACCGTCTACCGTGTCCTGGAGGCCAACAAGATGGTATTGACGATCGAATTTGGGCAGTCGTGCCTCGATAACGGAGTTACGAGCACGACGTCGACGGTGTGCCGGCCGGGAAAGATGGCAGTTTTAATTGAATTAAGGCTACAAAGAGGAGACCGGTCCTCCGCGTTCGACCCTTACGAGAGAGACCCGTCGGCCGGACTCCCTTAACTGGCTATTAACTCGAATTTTGGTAATAGGCGAGCGTTACGTTTTAGGGTGGTCGACTGTCAGTCGAAAAATCCCCTGTTAACGACCGCGGTTGGGTGATTCCGTGAAATTTTGTGCCAAACCGAGAGAATATTTCCCTAAGATTTGTAAAGATGCGAATAATACAGCGTAGTATTTAATCAGGTAGAAATCGGCAAACATTATTTAGTTGTTGATGTCTTAAGAATTAGACGAAAGATAACATTCACTTCGAAAAGATCATTTCAAGTTTCAGAAAAGAACTTGTTGTTTATTAAATATTCGGCATAATATCTTATCAGAAATAAACGGCTGGCGAAATAAACGCAGGCGTTATTTATTAACTGATGTTTTAAGAATTAGCGAAAGTTTATAGCTGTGCGTTTGAAAAAGCAGAAAAAGCAGCTTTGCGACTGTTGTGAGAGTTTTTAATATGATTAGTTTCCGCTCTTAGATTCTCATTGAATCTAAATGTATAATTAATTATATTAAAGAGAATCTTACCACCACAAAATTACTTTTTCTACTAAACGCAATCAATGTCCAATCAAATTTCGAAAAGATCATTTCAAGAAAAGAACTTGTTCACCGTTGAATATTTACAGCATAATATCTAATCAAATAGAAATCGGCAAGCACTATTTAATGTTTTAAGAATTAGCGAAAGTTAGTTGTCAATGAAAGATTTCGAAGAGATTACTTAAAATTCCAGAAAAGAACTTCCTCGTCGTTGAACATGCCTGTTACGTTCACAGTTCATTTAAAAAAGAAAAGCGACGATAAAGCCGCTAAAGACGAGGAAGGATTAATGAAAATGTTGCTTTTAGTAGAGGTAACGCCAGCTGTAATTATAGCAATGATACTAAAAATAAAAAATCGCAAACGGATCGGTCTCGTTAGAAGCATAAATCGCGGAAAATTCGCTTCTCTCGATACATAGATTTATCCGGCGTACTGCGGATTCGTCGTAAAGAATGCAGAGTAGTCTCTAACTCGATTTCGGTCCCCGCTCGAAACCCCCGCTGCCCCCATACTCGCTTCCCTGGCCGCATCCCTTTGCCGAGATCGGGGCGGGTGTAAAACTGTATGCGCGATATTAGAAGCGTAAAAAACGGGGGTAACGGTGGCAATGCCGAACGGCGAATGAGTCGGATATATGCGGACGAATAACGACGCCCGCGAGGCTTTCTGATGAAGGAATATCGCCCGTCCTTTACGGTCCGCGGCGCATATAAACACGCCGTGGGCGGCCGCGTGCGTTATTCTTCCGCGTGTCGAACAGCGACTTTTTCCTTCGTTCTTTTCATACGCGATCGCATTATTGTTAAGGTTGTGCGAATATTAATCGTTTTGCAGTTTTAAGTAGACGTTTTCCACACGTTTCTGCAAGGAAAGAACGATTTTGCTAAACTATCTAAACATTCCACTGGACACACAGATCTGAAAATAATTTTGTTGGACCATCGAAATAATTACACGGGAAAGTCAAAAGTTTTGACAATCAGCAAGAACGATTGTGTCGCAGTGTATCTAAGAAATTTAAAAATATACCATACAGATATCTGAAAATAATTTTGTTCGATTATCAAAAGAGATCATGAAAATATAGAAAATTGTAAAATTCAAATATGACGAACAGCAAAATTTTTGACATTTAACAATCAGTTTGAGTATTCTACATAATTATTTTGATAACCCAACAAAATTATATTTTCGGATTCCGTATCTAGCTAAATTTTTAAATGTTTCAACAAAACCGTTCTTTCCGTGCATGCAAATTATTCGCGTATGCCCGTTAGGCGAATAGATAAATTGGGAGTATTGAATCCCAAAGGGATCATAAAGCTTGGAAAATACAAAGTAAAAAGTTCGATCGTGGGTAGAAACTCGAAATGTAATTTATTTATCAAGATTCATACAGATTTACAAATTCCATCGCAATTTATTGCACGGTAATAAAAGTTAGGTAAGAATTTCGTAAAAGGTTATTTGTAGAAAATAAATATCGTCTCGAGATGACATCTATTTTCTATACAATTCTATTAGAATTTATTGCACAAATAGAAACTTAGTTCTGCCAGAACAGCAGAATGATGTTCTGTACACTTTGCAGCGAAAATACAGGGCCGTTGTAAAAGCGCGAATACGTATGTATGACTTACATTTACCGTCGCAACAACTTTAGTTGCTGTTACTCGAACAGCAAATATGTAATATCAAGCTTGATGTTACCGTAACATGGTTGATGTCGGCGTATTTACAAAATACGGACGTTACGCCTACAACAACTGCAAGCTTTCTTCCTACTGTACGGAATAATTTTACTAAAATATCTAAAAATTTAGGTAGATGCAGATCTGAAAAATACTTTTGTTAGAGCGAAAAATTATATCGAAATAATTATACAGAAGAGCTTAAACGTTGATAATAGTGCAACAAATTTCAATATTCCACTTCCATCAGCTATTTAAGCATAATTATTTCGATGATGCAGACAATATTATTTTCAGATCTGTATCTATAGCTAAATTTTGAAATATTTCAGTAAAATCGTTCCGTGGAGTTCTGTCGAATTTTCCGGTTAGTTTTCTGAAGAAAAACTCGTCGTTTCTTATCTC